TATATATATATATATATATATATATATATATATCCAATTGTAGTCTGTGCACATGTAGTAGGCGTACTCCTCTGTCGTGACCTTCTTCTTTCTTTCGTTTCGGCCCTCACCAGTCCCGTCTTCACCGCCCATGCCCACCACTGAGAGAAAGAAAATAACAAGCAGCATCGACGGTCCGCCTTGTCGGCTTCACCAATGACGTTCCCGGACACTTCAAGAGCTGTGACGATGCGTTGTCCCTCCCCTTTTCTTTTTTGCTGTTTTTAAGAGGCGCCAAGCACGAATCAATTTGGAGTGCCCAGCAGGAAAGCGATGAGGGTGTGGATGGGGGAGGGGGAGGACGAGATGGAGACAGACCCCCACCCCCTACCCCCCACACACGCAGGGAGCCGTTGGGAAAGGTGCGGCGGAAAAGGAGGGTGCAGTAAATGGTAATACTATCCTAAACAAAAGAAAACAAATTATATATATTTAAGAAAAGAAAAGAACACTCGGCAGTCAATGCGGAGAGATGAAGAAGGGAGGGGGAGAGGAACCAACACCAAACAGGAAACGAACAGAGAGACGCTCCGCGTGCGCTTCTCTCGCCCCCCTTTTTCCTGTTTGCATGTGTTTTTGATTCCACGCACGCCTCAACATGCGAGTACAAGCTCTGGGAAATGAAACACGTCGGACACGCTCTTCTTTCTTTCCTTTCTAAAGTGCTTCCTCCCATTTTTTTTTATTGCCTTTTGCAAATACTTCTGGCGAATAAACAAACAACCGAACAAACTGCTCGTTGCTCTGCGTGCGTATGCGCTGAGAGAGAGAGAAAGAGAGGAATCAATCAGTCACATAAGGAAGCGGTTTGAGCACTTGCTCATCAACCACACGCGGCGAGAGCGCTCCTCCCCGCGTCGATGAGGTGAATGGAGGGGGAGAGAGCGAGACGTGAGAGAGAGTGTGATAAGATCACGGGACACAAAAAACCCCCAAAAGAAGAAAACAGGAAAAGAAAAGAAAAAGGCGGAGCTGCTCACATTAACGACGGAAGTACTGCGTCAGAATAACAATTAATGGGTAGAAATAAAAATGAGAGGTCAGGGAGAGTTTGTAAACGACGCAGCGGATATCGTAGAAGCGAAAGCGCAGCGGCCGTTCCGCTTTCGAGGGACGGTCGGCTGCGCTCGCACTCGCACTGAGCAGGAAAGGAGAGAGAGAAACACGCTGGCATCCAAATTGGTGTTTACATATATATAAAGAAACACCAAGGAAGAACGCAAAATCCCTCCGAGGAGAACGGCCTCCACACACACGTACACCTTCAAAGACAACAACAAACACTGTGTGCAGAAAACACACTTTCTTCTTGCTCGTTGGTGTGCCTGTGGCTCAATGGCGGTGGCGCCGCCTCTCGCTCACTTCTTAAATCCTTCGGAGAGAAAAGAGAAAAACACGGATGCAGACGATGCCTTCGCTCACCCCGCTTCGCAGTCGAGGGAGATTCAAGATGACGAAACCACAGGAATCAGCATTGAAGAGGGGGTAAACAAGAAAAGGAAACCGAAAGAAGAAAGAACTGATAAGGATGCATTTCGCTCTCTCTTTGAGAGAGAGAGAGGCTTTGTCAAAAGAAGAAAAGCTGTACACATCGAACGAGGGAAGAGAGAACCAAAGAAGACGCACATAAATAATAATAATAATAAACCCAAAGAAGTAGTAAATGGCAGGGAAAGAAGGAGAAAAAGAAATGCTGAGGCGTTTGATCTGAAGTAAAGAAAGAAAGAGAGCCGTCGCGGTCAGCCGGGGGAAGTCGAGGCGTAGCGAGGCGAAGCGGAAAGCTGGCGAATAACGGCGCGCCGTGATGAAGAAGAGGAGAGAACGAGAGGGGTAGAAAGCCCGAAACGAGCTCCCACCCCTCTAGAAAAAAAAAAGAGAAGGGAAGAGGAATAGGGTCAGGCAAAGGTGCACGGCGTTGTGGCTATGTGCGGTGCAGTCAATGATGAATGCTGATAGCAAACCAACTACTCCAAAAATGACAGCAACAACCAACACATAGAACCAACAAAAAAAAAAAAACAAATACTGTGAAAGGGAAGAAGGACCGAAAGCGTACACCGCACTTTAGCCACACCACATCCTTTCCGCTCTTTCGAAGGGTGATAAGCTCCCGTTTCACTGTTTTCTTCTCTCGTTGCGGCATTTCTCTTCCCTTCTGACCGCATCGCTGTACCGCGTCGTCCAGTCAACTACGTCTCTCTCTCTCTCTCGTATTCTCACTTCAGAACAAAAAGAAAAGAAAATACAAGAGAACGATGTAAACTAAAACTTTACTTTGAATGCTTGTATCCGCATTACATCATCGTTGCCGCGTAGGTCACGGCAGCGACGAGGACGAGCACCACGGCCGAGGAGCGGGGAGAGACGGCGGCGTTGCGTCCACGCCGGCAGTTGCCCTTGACCGTCACCCGATAGCCCTTCTCGCACTCCTGGCACTGTTGGTAGTCGTCGTTAAAGCACTGCAGGCAGCGATCCACGCTGCACGAGCCGGTGAGCTTGCACTCGCCGCTGTTCATGAGGGAGTAGCCCTGCGAGCAGACCACGCAGACGTATGGCATGCCGTTGCTGCACATCGCACAGTATGGCACTTGGCATGTCGCGGAGGGTGAGTCGGAGACGCATTGGAGGGTCCTGTAGTTCAGCAGCCAGCCGGCGGCGCACTGCGTACACTTGCCCGCATTATCGCTGGTGCACTGTTGGCAGTTCGGCGCCGAGCAGGCTCCTTTGTAAGGGGCACAGGTACCACTGGTGGACACGGTGGAGAAGCCATCCGCGCACTTGGAGCAGCGAGGGGCGCCGTTGACCTGCACGCACTCGTTGCAGTGCTTGAAGGTGGCCGGGCACGTAACCACCGGGGGGTGCGTGGGGTCCTCCTGCGCAGCTGCAGAGACGGCGGTGATGACAAGGACGACAAGCAGCACCGCCACAGCGCAGCGCTTCTTCGAGGAGGTGAAGGTGAAGCCAGCCATTCTCCCTTTCCTTTTTCTGTTCCTTTACTCTTGCTTTTTCTGGTGTAGTTGCGGCCGGTTGTGCAGACGAAAGGGAAGCAAAAGAGGACCGAAGAATCAGACGGGAAGGGTGAGAAGCGACAGACAGCGGCAACGCGCGGCGAGAGAGGGAGAGAGACCTAAAGAAGAACACGGGGGTGGTTTTAGCTGGAAAAGGGGTATTACTGCGTAGTGTGCGTGCGTATGGGCGGCGGGGAAGGAGCAGAGAAGGGAGGTCAGGGGAGGGAGACGGAGAGGGAGAGGTGGGGGACGCTTGATAAGTGACACCGTGTCACACCCAGATGCAGCGGACAACCAGGTGTGGCTGTGGCACCTCACACGTGAAGTGCCCAGACGTAGTGCTGTACACGCGTCCACACCGCACGACCGTGCATCGTTGTGCGGTTGCCTTGACGCAACAAGCGCCAACCGGTTACACACCAACACACACCCATACCTTCCGATAATATACATGTACAGCGCTGTTCTCTTGAGAGGGGGAACGAAAAACCAGGGGGGTTGGCCACCATGCAGCGGAGCGACACACACGGGTGGGGAGAGAGGGAAGACAGTCGAAAGGGAGGAAAGAGGGCGGCAATCTCCTCAAAGAACAAAACAGAGAAGTAAAAAACAAAAACAAAAGTGGGCATTGAAACGGCAGCGGAGGGGTGAAAACATGAGGAGAACGAAAGCACTAGACGTAGATGGGGGAGGGAGGAGGCAACGACACCGGTGGTTACCCCCCCCCCCCCCACGCCCACGTTGACGGCGGTGTAAGGGTGGCGGTGGGAGGTGTCGTGCTCGAAGCGGTGGTGGTAGCGGTTGCGGTCGCCGTTCGGGTACTTGGGAACACATACAGTACGACTTGTACGTACCCTTCTCACGGTCCCCGCCCGAACAAACACACACACACACACACGGTGCTGGGCCCCGAGGTACACGAAGGTGGGAGCTCTCTCTGTGTAGAGCGACCCATCGTAAACGGGTATAAGGTTTAGGAGAGAGAGCCAATGCGGAAAGAGGAGAAGAAGAGGGTAGAAGACGACAAGCATTTCCTACTGCATCACATTTCTAGCCCGGTACCGCAAAACTGTCGAGCTCATAATCACTGGTGAGTACGTGTGCGAGACGACCCTAAGATTCTATTCGTATTGATATTTGCTTTTTCCGAATGGTGGCAAAGAAATTGAGAAGGTGGCACAGGTTCTTTCCTGATCCGCCTTCAAAGCGCGAAGGTGCGGGCTAGGGTGAAGGAGGGAACACGAGAAGAAAAGAAAAAAGACTCGAAAGCGGAGAGCTGTCGCACGAGAAACCACATGAGGATAGTAGAAAGCAAAATAATAATAATGACAATAAAGTATTAATAATAAACCAGTTAGACCTACGCATCTCCGCCATCTCAACATCCCATCATTCCTCGCTCGGCTGTTCATCTCTGGGGCCGAAAGCGACGATGAGAGAAGCTGGATGAAGGAGGCTCCCTGCAGTGGTTAAAAAGAAAACGAAGAACCGGCAAAGGGAGCGAGGCGAGGTAGAGGTAGTGGATCCATGCGCATACGGCGGCGCGCGCACAAGCAAACAGCAAAAGAAATGCGCGAGAACGGTGTGCGCGGAGAAGCGCGGATGCCGCTGCCACTCCGATGAGCACTTCGGCTTACTTTGTGAGTGAGCAGCAAAAGAGAAGGAAAAAAAGAGAAGGAGAAGAATGAGTAGACACATCATACGAATGCAGACTTCTGAACGACAAACCACAAAGGAAAACAAAACAAGGAACCGAACGTAGGGCGGCCTGATGGGAAAACCGAATGACAAGCAAAGGAGAGAGAGAGGGCGCGCACACACCCATGCCGGCGACACGGACGATGCCGCTACAGCGGCACTTAGTGCCTCGGGGAAGTGAAGAAAGCGACTACCAAAAATGTGCACAAACAGGGGGAAAAGAAGAAAAAAACGTAGTAGAGAGATAGAGGGAGGGAGGGGTACAGTCCTACACACATACACCCACAGGCACACCTAGGTGAAAGCAAAATGAGTTAAAGAAGGTCCGCCACGGCCACCGCGAGCACCGCGATCCCAACGAGGAGGGCGGTCGGACCCGACATAGACCCGTTCGCACGGCGCTTGCATACGCCATCGGCGTTGGAGGCATAACCCGCCGCACACGTCGTGCACCGACTGTAGCTCGTCGCTGCGCACTGCACGCAGTTGGCCACCGCGCAATACCCCGACTGCATACAGGTGCCCGTTTCCGTGACGGTGTAGCCGATCACGCACGTAGCGCATGCCTTCCCGTCACTCGTGCACACGGCACACTTGTCGATGGCACACGGAGTGCTTGGCCTGGCGGTGGTGGTGGTGGTGGTGGTGGTGGTGACAGGGACAGGCACAGGTGTGGTTGTTGTTGTTGTCGTTACCGGGACAGGCACAGACGTAGTTGTTGTGGTGGTCGTTACCGGGACAGGCACAGGTGTGGTTGTTGTGGTGGTCGTTACCGGGACAGGCACAGGTGTGGTTGTTGTGGTGGTCGTTACCGGGACAGGCGCAGGTGTGGTTGTTGTGGTGGTCGTTACCGGGACAGGCACAGGTGTGGTTGTTGTGGTGGTCGTTACTGGGACCGGGACAGGCGTGGGGGCCTTACTCGAGGTGTACAGTCCACCCGTGGCGGACGAAACTGTCTCCCCGAGGCACTCCGACGTTTCTTGGTCGGGCACGCCATGGTTGCACGCCACACAAATCTTTGGGTCGTCTGAGCCGCACTTGTCGCAGTCGTGCATTTCACAGTTGCCGTTGTACACCTGGCAGGTGGCAAAGTTCTGCCCCTGCGTTGCCTGCGAATACCGCGTAGTGGCGGTGTCGACGCAGATGGCGCAGAGGAAGTGGGTGACACCACCGATAGTGGCGTAGTGGCACTGGGAGCAGTGCTCCAAGTCGGTATCGGCGCAGTCAATTTGCGGAAAGTCGGTGATGGACCACGCCTGCGCCGGCAAGGCCAGCACCAGCGTCCACCACAGCACTGCAACGGCCACGCAGCGGCAAAGGACGGACATACCTGTGTGTAAAGGGGAAAGGGGGAGAGAGAGTGAAGCGCCGTCACGGGCGGTGCAGGGGAGAGCCGAGGGGAGCAGGCGGGGAGAGAAAAGAACTGCGTGTTGAGTACGACGCCTCGACGTTTGGGAAAGGCGAGCGGCGAACGCGTGCGCGCAGAGTGAGGAGGGCGAGAAAGAAGGGCGGTGGGGAGAGGGGAGTGGAGAGGAGAAGACGCTTTATCATTTCCTTTTGCCTCCCCGCGGTCACCGACTGGCGACCGGGTAGGCGAGGCCGACAGCACGCTCTCTTTTGTGCGGTGTCGGGACGGCCCTCGACAACCTTTAATGGCCTCCCAGAGAGCGAATACCATGCTTCGTCGGAGATCGGAAGCGAGAAAAGGAGAGTACACTGTGCAGCTACAACTCGTACAGCACGTTTCAGTGCCGTCTCTCGCTGCGAGAGAGGTGATAACGCCCGTACACGCATCCTGTGTCTCTTCCGTAGGCAGAGTTGCCAAAAAGATAAATGCGTTTCATTGCTCGATTGCAAAACGGCGGACGCCGCCGATGATCTTTGAGACTTCCTTTGCACCTGCCCTTTTCGGTCACTTCGAATAGATCAATCAACCAATCCGTAGACAAACACGTACACATAAGTGTACCGCTGACATGCTCGCCTGATTCTCGCCCTTTTCCTTTTACACTCCGGAGAGACGGCAGCACGCATCCACAAAGAGAAGAGCGCAGCCGCAACAACAATAAAACCCAAAAGCCTCGATTCTACAGGAGCGACATCTGCACAATGAAGAGTGTGAAGGGCTTATCTCAAAAGGCCACAGCGTACAGTGGTGCAGCATGCTGTGAGAAGCTGCGACAGCGGGAATGCAAAACCCTGGCGTTCCGCCGAGGGACAGAGGCCTTCGTGTAGCAGTTGTTCTTCTTCCTCGTGCGAAGGGCACACGCAGACGCAAATGGGAAACGAAAGAGATGCTCTTCTGTACTTGGAAATCATAATAATAAAACAGGGTCGCTTCCTTCATTAAGAGAATTCATTGCCGTGTTTTTTAAAGCTCATTTTAATTTTCCGTCTCCTGCGCTGGCGTGGGTCGCAGCACCGCTCGTTTCGTTTCATGGCGTTCACTCACGCAGCACAATATGTACTTTTCCGTCTTTCGCAGAGCTCTACCCGAATGCACGGTTCGCGCGTGGTCCCGCCGCCGCCGCCGCAACAACAACAACAACAACATAAAGAACATACCATAACAGTAAATGCAAAAGAGTAAAATCAGAAAGGAAAGACGTGGATGAAAGAGGGTGAGGGGTGTTATGAATACGCGACTCAACAACGAAGAAAAGGAAAGGAATAAACAGTAGTACGCGTGGCAGCAATCATCATCATCATCATCAGACAATTCCGTAGGCGACGTGTGTGTGTGTGTGTGTGTGTGTGTGTGTGTGTGTGACACGAATCACTGAAAACAAAAAGGAAAGATAAGCCGCATGAACGGCAATAGATCGGGTGGGATTGTACGCGAAAACGAAACAATGGGGAAGGAGGGGGGGGGGGAACCCACTAGAAAGCAAAGTAGTGATATTGAAAACATAAAAGATTGTCAACATTCGAAGAGAGAGTTCACGAGCTGAAGTTACCACACCACCACCACCACCACCGATAACAACAACAAAAAAGGAGGGGGGGGGGATTGGTTGGGTGGACATGGTGTGGCACTCCTCGTTACCTACCCACATGGGAAACAATGAAGGAAGGAATAATAGTAATAAACGAAGAAACCACAACGTGCTGCGCTATCGAAACTATGTGTGCTGCTTGTTAGTGTGTGTGTGTGTGTGGAACGTCGCTCATGAGAAGAGCGCATGCGAAATGCATCGACAGATGCACACCGTCGCGTGTAAGTCGACATCCATCCATCCATCCTCGTAGCTGAAGTGGCCGGAGCAACAACAACAACAAAGGAAAGAAAACAAAAATGCACACAAAGCAGAGGAAAATAAGTAGCCGAAGCTAATAACCCTCCCCTCCCTCCACATGACCAGCGTGACAACACCTTTTCTTCTTCTTTTGCTGCCGTGCACATACAAATAGGCTTGAGGTCGGGTCTTTCCGCTTCCCTTCTCTTCTCTCCATGACGGGTGTGGCTGCACACCTCGAGGAGGGCGAAGAGGGGGGGAGGGGGATGGGGAGATGGGTGCCTGTTTTCTTGTGTACACCTTGCCTTACACTAGTCCACCGACGACAACCGCAACGGCTGTGCAGGAGGAGGAGGGGGGGGGGGGGAAGATGGGTGGCTTTATAATAATATTACTAATAACAAGAAGAATAAAACGGATGGGGGACGACGTCGTTTGATGCCCTTCACAGCGATCGCACCGAGAGGACAAAACGGAGGTGTGTAAAACAAACCACAAAGGAAAACAAAACAAGGAACCGAACGTAGGGCGGCCTGATGGGAAAACCGAATGACAAGCAAAGGAGAGAGAGAGGGCGCGCACACACCCATGCCGGCGACACGGACGATGCCGCTACAGCGGCACTTAGTGCCTCGGGGAAGTGAAGAAAGCGACTACCAAAAATGTGCACAAACAGGGGGAAAAGAAGAAAAAAACGTAGTAGAGAGATAGAGGGAGGGAGGGGTACAGTCCTACACACATACACCCACAGGCACACCTAGGTGAAAGCAAAATGAGTTAAAGAAGGTCCGCCACGGCCACCGCGAGCACCGCGATCCCAACGAGGAGGGCGGTCGGACCCGACATAGACCCGTTCGCACGGCGCTTGCATACGCCATCGGCGTTGGAGGCATAACCCGCCGCACACGTCGTGCACCGACTGTAGCTCGTCGCTGCGCACTGCACGCAGTTGGCCACCGCGCAATACCCCGACTGCATACAGGTGCCCGTTTCCGTGACGGTGTAGCCGATCACGCACGTAGCGCATGCCTTCCCGTCACTCGTGCACACGGCACACTTGTCGATGGCACACGGAGTGCTTGGCCTGGCGGTGGTGGTGGTGGTGGTGGTGGTGGTGACAGGGACAGGCACAGGTGTGGTTGTTGTTGTTGTCGTTACCGGGACAGGCACAGACGTAGTTGTTGTGGTGGTCGTTACCGGGACAGGCACAGGTGTGGTTGTTGTGGTGGTCGTTACCGGGACAGGCACAGGTGTGGTTGTTGTGGTGGTCGTTACCGGGACAGGCGCAGGTGTGGTTGTTGTGGTGGTCGTTACCGGGACAGGCACAGGTGTGGTTGTTGTGGTGGTCGTTACTGGGACCGGGACAGGCGTGGGGGCCTTACTCGAGGTGTACAGTCCACCCGTGGCGGACGAAACTGTCTCCCCGAGGCACTCCGACGTTTCTTGGTCGGGCACGCCATGGTTGCACGCCACACAAATCTTTGGGTCGTCTGAGCCGCACTTGTCGCAGTCGTGCATTTCACAGTTGCCGTTGTACACCTGGCAGGTGGCAAAGTTCTGCCCCTGCGTTGCCTGCGAATACCGCGTAGTGGCGGTGTCGACGCAGATGGCGCAGAGGAAGTGGGTGACACCACCGATAGTGGCGTAGTGGCACTGGGAGCAGTGCTCCAAGTCGGTATCGGCGCAGTCAATTTGCGGAAAGTCGGTGATGGACCACGCCTGCGCCGGCAAGGCCAGCACCAGCGTCCACCACAGCACTGCAACGGCCACGCAGCGGCAAAGGACGGACATACCTGTGTGTAAAGGGGAAAGGGGGAGAGAGAGTGAAGCGCCGTCACGGGCGGTGCAGGGGAGAGCCGAGGGGAGCAGGCGGGGAGAGAAAAGAACTGCGTGTTGAGTACGACGCCTCGACGTTTGGGAAAGGCGAGCGGCGAACGCGTGCGCGCAGAGTGAGGAGGGCGAGAAAGAAGGGCGGTGGGGAGAGGGGAGTGGAGAGGAGAAGACGCTTTATCATTTCCTTTTGCCTCCCCGCGGTCACCGACTGGCGACCGGGTAGGCGAGGCCGACAGCACGCTCTCTTTTGTGCGGTGTCGGGACGGCCCTCGACAACCTTTAATGGCCTCCCAGAGAGCGAATACCATGCTTCGTCGGAGATCGGAAGCGAGAAAAGGAGAGTACACTGTGCAGCTACAACTCGTACAGCACGTTTCAGTGCCGTCTCTCGCTGCGAGAGAGGTGATAACGCCCGTACACGCATCCTGTGTCTCTTCCGTAGGCAGAGTTGCCAAAAAGATAAATGCGTTTCATTGCTCGATTGCAAAACGGCGGACGCCGCCGATGATCTTTGAGACTTCCTTTGCACCTGCCCTTTTCGGTCACTTCGAATAGATCAATCAACCAATCCGTAGACAAACACGTACACATAAGTGTACCGCTGACATGCTCGCCTGATTCTCGCCCTTTTCCTTTTACACTCCGGAGAGACGGCAGCACGCATCCACAAAGAGAAGAGCGCAGCCGCAACAACAATAAAACCCAAAAGCCTCGATTCTACAGGAGCGACATCTGCACAATGAAGAGTGTGAAGGGCTTATCTCAAAAGGCCACAGCGTACAGTGGTGCAGCATGCTGTGAGAAGCTGCGACAGCGGGAATGCAAAACCCTGGCGTTCCGCCGAGGGACAGAGGCCTTCGTGTAGCAGTTGTTCTTCTTCCTCGTGCGAAGGGCACACGCAGACGCAAATGGGAAACGAAAGAGATGCTCTTCTGTACTTGGAAATCATAATAATAAAACAGGGTCGCTTCCTTCATTAAGAGAATTCATTGCCGTGTTTTTTAAAGCTCATTTTAATTTTCCGTCTCCTGCGCTGGCGTGGGTCGCAGCACCGCTCGTTTCGTTTCATGGCGTTCACTCACGCAGCACAATATGTACTTTTCCGTCTTTCGCAGAGCTCTACCCGAATGCACGGTTCGCGCGTGGTCCCGCCGCCGCCGCCGCAACAACAACAACAACAACATAAAGAACATACCATAACAGTAAATGCAAAAGAGTAAAATCAGAAAGGAAAGACGTGGATGAAAGAGGGTGAGGGGTGTTATGAATACGCGACTCAACAACGAAGAAAAGGAAAGGAATAAACAGTAGTACGCGTGGCAGCAATCATCATCATCATCATCAGACAATTCCGTAGGCGACGTGTGTGTGTGTGTGTGTGTGTGTGTGTGTGTGTGTGACACGAATCACTGAAAACAAAAAGGAAAGATAAGCCGCATGAACGGCAATAGATCGGGTGGGATTGTACGCGAAAACGAAACAATGGGGAAGGAGGGGGGGGGGGAACCCACTAGAAAGCAAAGTAGTGATATTGAAAACATAAAAGATTGTCAACATTCGAAGAGAGAGTTCACGAGCTGAAGTTACCACACCACCACCACCACCACCGATAACAACAACAAAAAAGGAGGGGGGGGGGATTGGTTGGGTGGACATGGTGTGGCACTCCTCGTTACCTACCCACATGGGAAACAATGAAGGAAGGAATAATAGTAATAAACGAAGAAACCACAACGTGCTGCGCTATCGAAACTATGTGTGCTGCTTGTTAGTGTGTGTGTGTGTGTGGAACGTCGCTCATGAGAAGAGCGCATGCGAAATGCATCGACAGATGCACACCGTCGCGTGTAAGTCGACATCCATCCATCCATCCTCGTAGCTGAAGTGGCCGGAGCAACAACAACAACAAAGGAAAGAAAACAAAAATGCACACAAAGCAGAGGAAAATAAGTAGCCGAAGCTAATAACCCTCCCCTCCCTCCACATGACCAGCGTGACAACACCTTTTCTTCTTCTTTTGCTGCCGTGCACATACAAATAGGCTTGAGGTCGGGTCTTTCCGCTTCCCTTCTCTTCTCTCCATGACGGGTGTGGCTGCACACCTCGAGGAGGGCGAAGAGGGGGGGAGGGGGATGGGGAGATGGGTGCCTGTTTTCTTGTGTACACCTTGCCTTACACTAGTCCACCGACGACAACCGCAACGGCTGTGCAGGAGGAGGAGGGGGGGGGGGGGAAGATGGGTGGCTTTATAATAATATTACTAATAACAAGAAGAATAAAACGGATGGGGGACGACGTCGTTTGATGCCCTTCACAGCGATCGCACCGAGAGGACAAAACGGAGGTGTGTAAAACAAACCACAAAGGAAAACAAAACAAGGAACCGAACGTAGGGCGGCCTGATGGGAAAACCGAATGACAAGCAAAGGAGAGAGAGAGGGCGCGCACACACCCATGCCGGCGACACGGACGATGCCGCTACAGCGGCACTTAGTGCCTCGGGGAAGTGAAGAAAGCGACTACCAAAAATGTGCACAAACAGGGGGAAAAGAAGAAAAAAACGTAGTAGAGAGATAGAGGGAGGGAGGGGTACAGTCCTACACACATACACCCACAGGCACACCTAGGTGAAAGCAAAATGAGTTAAAGAAGGTCCGCCACGGCCACCGCGAGCACCGCGATCCCAACGAGGAGGGCGGTCGGACCCGACATAGACCCGTTCGCACGGCGCTTGCATACGCCATCGGCGTTGGAGGCATAACCCGCCGCACACGTCGTGCACCGACTGTAGCTCGTCGCTGCGCACTGCACGCAGTTGGCCACCGCGCAATACCCCGACTGCATACAGGTGCCCGTTTCCGTGACGGTGTAGCCGATCACGCACGTAGCGCATGCCTTCCCGTCACTCGTGCACACGGCACACTTGTCGATGGCACACGGAGTGCTTGGCCTGGCGGTGGTGGTGGTGGTGGTGGTGGTGGTGACAGGGACAGGCTACGCCTGTCCCGGTAACGACCACCACAACAACTACGTCTGTCCCGGTCCCAGTAACGACCACCACAACAACCACACCTGTGCCTGTCCCGGTAACGACCACCACAACAACCACACCTGCGCCTGTCCCGGTAACGACCACCACAACAACCACACCTGTGCCTGTCCCGGTAACGACAACAACAACAACCACACCTGTATTGTTGTGGTGGTCGTTACTGGGACCGGGACAGGTGTGGTTGTTGTGGTGGTCGTTACCGGGACAGGCGCAGGTGTGGTTGTTGTGGTGGTCGTTACCGGGACAGGCACAGGTGTGGTTGTTGTGGTGGTCGTTACTGGGACCGGGACAGGCGTGGGGGCCTTACTCGAGGTGTACAGTCCACCCGTGGCGGACGAAACTGTCTCCCCGAGGCACTCCGACGTTTCTTGGTCGGGCACGCCATGGTTGCACGCCACACAAATCTTTGGGTCGTCTGAGCCGCACTTGTCGCAGTCGTGCATTTCACAGTTGCCGTTGTACACCTGGCAGGTGGCAAAGTTCTGCCCCTGCGTTGCCTGCGAATACCGCGTAGTGGCGGTGTCGACGCAGATGGCGCAGAGGAAGTGGGTGACACCACCGATAGTGGCGTAGTGGCACTGGGAGCAGTGCTCCAAGTCGGTATCGGCGCAGTCAATTTGCGGAAAGTCGGTGATGGACCACGCCTGCGCCGGCAAGGCCAGCACCAGCGTCCACCACAGCACTGCAACGGCCACGCAGCGGCAAAGGACGGACATACCTGTGTGTAAAGGGGAAAGGGGGAGAGAGAGTGAAGCGCCGTCACGGGCGGTGCAGGGGAGAGCCGAGGGGAGCAGGCGGGGAGAGAAAAGAACTGCGTGTTGAGTACGACGCCTCGACGTTTGGGAAAGGCGAGCGGCGAACGCGTGCGCGCAGAGTGAGGAGGGCGAGAAAGAAGGGCGGTGGGGAGAGGGGAGTGGAGAGGAGAAGACGCTTTATCATTTCCTTTTGCCTCCCCGCGGTCACCGACTGGCGACCGGGTAGGCGAGGCCGACAGCACGCTCTCTTTTGTGCGGTGTCGGGACGGCCCTCGACAACCTTTAATGGCCTCCCAGAGAGCGAATACCATGCTTCGTCGGAGATCGGAAGCGAGAAAAGGAGAGTACACTGTGCAGCTACAACTCGTACAGCACGTTTCAGTGCCGTCTCTCGCTGCGAGAGAGGTGATAACGCCCGTACACGCATCCTGTGTCTCTTCCGTAGGCAGAGTTGCCAAAAAGATAAATGCGTTTCATTGCTCGATTGCAAAACGGCGGACGCCGCCGATGATCTTTGAGACTTCCTTTGCACCTGCCCTTTTCGGTCACTTCGAATAGATCAATCAACCAATCCGTAGACAAACACGTACACATAAGTGTACCGCTGACATGCTCGCCTGATTCTCGCCCTTTTCCTTTTACACTCCGGAGAGACGGCAGCACGCATCCACAAAGAGAAGAGCGCAGCCGCAACAACAATAAAACCCAAAAGAAAAAAAGAAGAAGAAAGGAACTGAACAGCAACGGTTTTCTTGATGCGCTTTCGGGGGACAATTTCGCGTGGTTTTGCGACCCGTGCAGGATCGGGGAAACACAGCGTTTTGATGGTTCCACACGTCTCTCAAGTCCAGCTGTCACCCACACCCACGGGGGAGTAGCAGGCGAGATAGCGGGCGATGCGGCGTGGAAGTACGCACACCAAGCACACGAAGCGCTCCGTTACACGGGACGCGTTTAATACGAAGGAAGAAATCAACATCAACGACGACAACGAATAAGGTGCCGATGATGGTGTAGCAAACACAGTGGTTTGCTCAGCGGTCTCACTGCAAGACGCTGAAAAAAGAGAGAAAAACGAAAACAAATGGAAGGAGCACCTCTGAATAACTACCGCATCATCACGGCAACACCGTCGGCGAGGAATGGGATGGGAGCAAAGGGAAACTTATAAGTAGAGCAAAGTAGCAACGATGCTCTTTATGTGCTCCGTTTTGACGCGGAGGGAGAATGAGGTTGATGTGCGGTTAAGTACACACGTACATCTGCCGTCACACACGTCGACTGTAAAAAGCAGTAAAGCACAGCAGCAACAACAACGACGCAGTAGTATTATTACGAACAAAAACCGCACGCATCATCCGCTGCAGTGGAGACGATGAGGCGAGGTGGACCTCCGTGACAACCACCTACTGCAGCCGCAGCCACCTCCAGCAGCTACGGCGCGACAGCGTTGCTCCTACCGTCCTTCCGTGCCCGTCGAAGAACGGGCTATGGGTGTTGACTTTCGCGCAGGTGGCGTGAGCGATAGAGTTGCCGCTGACGCACGCAAGGCAGCGGCGCACCGCACAGCTTGTTGCGGCCTCTGCGAAGATGGAGGGGGAGGGGGGAAGAAGGAGGGGTGTCGAGAGACACCTCACACCCTACCCGCGCAGGTGGCGTGCGTTCTCTCAGGCGTGCCCTGGTCGGAGCATCTTCAAACCAATTCGCTGCATGACGCACCGCAGGCTTCGCAGATATGCAAAATGGAAGTAGTAGGGATCGTGCCCACAGGACAGGGAGATGCGGCAGTTCGTCGTCGCTGCACTGCGGCTTCTCTCTCCTTCTATATATAGACATTTATCTGGGACAGCGAATAATCGCACCAGCCATGCACAAGGGCACTAAGCCCGACCGCATGTATCCGTGAGTGGACAGCGCTGGGGCACTGAACAACCATCATCCCCGCACGTCGCCGTGCGAAGGACTGTGGCGATGCGGTTCGCCAGTATCTTCCGTGTTTGTTCTGTGCTTGTTCTATTCTTCATTGTGCCTAACATCAGCAACCAAACAACAGCGGACAGTCTCGAACCAGCGAAGAGAGAAGAGCCCACGGCGACATCGGAGGAGTAGAGGAGAAAGAATAGCTTCCCAAGACAACACCAACAACGATCATCGAAAGCAGCACGAGACACAGGATGCGCTTGAGCTGAAACGCACGGGTGAGGGCCACAACACCGACTCCAAAGACACCCCAAGAGCGAGACTACGAGAGACGGAGGCGATGGGGCAGGCGGAGGTGGAGGGCGGTGCGCCGGCGCGCGACCGCACACACACATCCACACATCCACACACACGTTGACCCCACAGCAACACATAAATGCACGCAAACTCCCCGGACCAGCACCGCCACGGGGGTGCAAGGGAGGCGGGGACGGCGGGGGATGCGGGGTGCAAAGAGGAGAGGGGTTCGGCTTTCTGCGTGTCTGTGCACATGAGACAAGAACACCAACGGACAGCGGCGCAGTACCACCACGTCTCCCACACACATGCTGCACACCCATCGGTGCGTCGGTGCGTGTGCGTGCGTGGATGCGACGACTCGCCGATGGCGAAGAGAATGGCGGTTGCGAACAACCGGGAAAAGAGAGAAGAAAACAGCTACGCACACCGGAGTCGCACACTCAACCGGGTGGGGCTTCGGGAGAAAACAGAAGGGAAAACGCGGCACCAACACGTAGCGTATGAGAATGAGAGAAAGAAGAAGCTAAAGCATTTGTGTGTGGTGCCGTCAGTCGATTTGCCGGAGGAAACGAAGCGGAGCGGGTGGCGCCAGGCGTGGGGGCAACGCAGGGGTCGTTGCGGGCCCGCTCCGACAGTAGAAAGAAGCAAGAAGGAAACAAACGAAGAAAGCTAAAAGAGAACAATACTCTACGGGGAGGGAGTAGGGGGAATACGGCGCGTAGGTCGAGCCGCTGCCGCCGGTGCGAGTGGGCTGTTCACATGTTGGCTCGCACCGGCGGGGCGCCACGCCTGGTACGTGCCGCCTACGCCAAGTACGTGACGGCGAATGCCACCATCACGGCCACAGCCACCCACCGCGAGTGCGGTGCAACGGCGCCGTTCACGTTGACGTGCTGCGAGAGGCAGGTGTAGGTGGAGCTGAGGAGGTAGCCGTTGCGGCACGTGGAGCACTTGGTGCTGTCGCGCAGCATGCACTGTGCGCAGTTGCCCACGTAGCAGCTGCTGGTGGGCACGCACTGGCCGTTGGACGTGTAGTAGCCACTCCGGCAGTACTGGCAGGTGTTGGGGTCGCTGGCGACGCACGTGATGCAGTTCGGCACGCTGCACGGCGTTGTTGGCGTCGTGGTGGAGGTGACGTCCGCCGTGCAGTCGTCTTGTCAGCCGACAGGGTGTAGCCGGCGTCGCAGGTGTCGCACACGGATGCGCTGACGGGGCTGCACGTTTTGCAGTGGCTGACGCTGCAGCTGCCGCTCGTGATGCACTGGAAGGTGACCGTGTCAACGATCTTTGGAGGCGCGCACCGCGCACACTTGGTGGGGTCGCCCGTGATGCACTCCACGCAGTCGGCCACGCGGCACTCCACGGGAGAGCACGTGCCGTTCACGAGGCGGAAGCCCGGGTTGCAGGTGGTGCACTGATCGGGGGAATTGCTGCAGGCAGCGCAGTTGGCCACTGTGCACGTGGAGGACGCCACACAGTAGCCGTTGGTCAGCGTGTAGCCGCTCTCGCACACCACGCACGTGCTCTCGGGATCGCTGCCAGAGGATGTCGGTGAGCTCCCGCCCTTGCACTGTGTGCAATGGCCCACACGGCACCCCGGACCCTGCACGCACTGCAGGTTGTTCCACGTGTACCCGGCTGAACACAGCTGGCAGTCATTCGTTCTGTTGCTGTAACACAGGTCACAGTGGTTCACCTTGCAGGAGCTGACACAGACGTTGGAAACGTCGAACGCGTAACCGTCGGCGCACTGCGCACACTGCGTGGCCGCGGTGCTGCTGCATGTTTTACAGTGCGCTGCACGGCACTGCGTCACGCCACGAGAGCTCGACGCACTGCCCCTGCCGCTCCCGCTGGCGCCCGAGTCGGCGGTGTTCGCGTCGCACTCACCGTTGTTCCAGTGGAAGCCGTTACTGCACAGGTTGCACGTCGGAAGGGTGCCGGTAGAGTTTGTCGTGCACTCGTCGCAGTGGGGAACTTTACACTGCGCGCAAACGCCGTTCGCAAGCTGGTAGCCAGTGAAGCACGCCGTGCAGGGGCCAGAGTTGGATGCAGCCGCCGAGCCTGAACACACCGTGCAGTAGTCTGTCAAGCACAACCTGGACGAGCCGCTGCAATCCGTTATGTTCGCGGAGGAGCAGCAGAGGCATTGGTCTGCCGAGGGGATAATGGTCTGGCGCGAAGGGTCGCTGTTTACGCACGTGTACAACGCACTGCACTCAGCCTGCGTCGGCGCTGCTGCTGCTGCTGGGGTGGCGGCTGCGTTCAGAACGACCAGCGCAGCGCACAGCAGAAACACGACCTTTGCGTAACGCATGGTTGACCACGAGCAGCAAAGGGAGAGAAGAGAAAAGAAAAAACCAATGCGTGCGTGTCTCTGCAAGAGGCTTGGATGAACTGGGACTTGTGTCGGCGAGAAACACACACCGCAGAGAGAAACCGAGAAAGCAAAGAAAACTTGGTGTGCGAATAGAGGCGCAAGCCATTACTCTCGCAGATTCGTGAGGCGTTAGCGGCGTGTGCACGTCAGCGTGGCGAGGAAGAGGAGTGCGCCTGCTCCTGCGCTGCACCCCGTCGTGCCGTGCCGCTGTCAGCTGCCAGCGTGGGCCCTCACCGGGGCGCGACGACCCGCGCTCCTCGTCCCTCGCGCTCTCCCTGCCAACGCCCCCCTCTCTTCCCCCTCCCCCCTTCTTTCACTGACGGAGGCGATGGGGCAGGCGGAGGTGGAGGGCGGTGCGCCGGCGCGCGACCGCACACACACATCCACACATCCACACACACGTTGACCCCACAGCAACACATAAATGCACGCAAACTCCCCGGACCAGCACCGCCACGGGGGTGCAAGGGAGGCGGGGACGGCGGGGGATGCGGGGTGCAAAGAGGAGAGGGGTTCGGCTTTCTGCGTGTCTGTGCACATGAGACAAGAACACCAACGGACAGCGGCGCAGTACCACCACGTCTCCCACACACATGCTGCACACCCATCGGTGCGTCGGTGCGTGTGCGTGCGTGGATGCGACGACTCGCCGATGGCGAAGAGAATGGCGGTTGCGAACAACCGGGAAAAGAGAGAAGAAAACAGCTACGCACACCGGAGTCGCACACTCAACCGGGTGGGGCTTCGGGAGAAAACAGAAGGGAAAACGCGGCACCAACACGTAGCGTATGAGAATGAGAGAAAGAAGAAGCTAAAGCATTTGTGTGTGGTGCCGTCAGTCGATTTGCCGGAGGAAACGAAGCGGAGCGGGTGGCGCCAGGCGTGGGGGCAACGCAGGGGTCGTTGCGGGCCCGCTCCGACAGTAGAAAGAAGCAAGAAGGAAACAAACGAAGAAAGCTAAAAGAGAACAATACTCTACGGGGAGGGAGTAGGGGGAATACGGCGCGTAGGTCGAGCCGCTGCCGCCGGTGCGAGTGGGCTGTTCACATGTTGGCTCGCACCGGCGGGGCGCCACGCCTGGTACGTGCCGCCTACGCCAAGTACGTGACGGCGAATGCCACCATCACGGCCACAGCCACCCACCGCGAGTGCGGTGCAACGGCGCCGTTCACGTTGACGTGCTGCGAGAGGCAGGTGTAGGTGGAGCTGAGGAGGTAGCCGTTGCGGCACGTGGAGCACTTGGTGCTGTCGCGCAGCATGCACTGTGCGCAGTTGCCCACGTAGCAGCTGCTGGTGGGCACGCACTGGCCGTTGGACGTGTAGTAGCCACTCCGGCAGTACTGGCAGGTGTTGGGGTCGCTGGCGACGCACGTGATGCAGTTCGGCACGCTGCACGGCGTTGTTGGCGTCGTGGTGGAGGTGACGTCCGCCGTGCAGTCGTCTTGTCAGCCGACAGGGTGTAGCCGGCGTCGCAGGTGTCGCACACGGATGCGCTGACGGGGCTGCACGTTTTGCAGTGGCTGACGCTGCAGCTGCCGCTCGTGATGCACTGGAAGGTGACCGTGTCAACGATCTTTGGAGGCGCGCACCGCGCACACTTGGTGGGGTCGCCCGTGATGCACTCCACGCAGTCGGCCACGCGGCACTCCACGGGAGAGCACGTGCCGTTCACGAGGCCGTAGTTGTCCGCGCAGCGCGCGCACGTGTCCGGGGCGACGGGGCAGGAGACGCAGTAGGGGACCGTGCAGTTCGACGCGCAGACGTTGTTGATGGGTGCCGAGTTGTCCTGGCACAGCGTGCACACATTGGGGTTGTTCGTACTGCACTGCTTGCAGCCCGCCGTGGTGCAGCGGACGCAGGCGCCGGAGGTGGAGATGGCATAGCCTTCGTTGCACGCGGTGCACACGCCGGCGGCATTGCAAGTCGCGCAGTTGGCAGGGCACGGAGCGGCGGTCTGCGTGCACGTTGCGGTGGTGGAGTTGAGAGTCCAGCCCGCCGAGCACGTGTTGCAGGCGGTCTCGTTGTGGCACCAGATGCAGCCGTCCGTGCACCCCTTTGGGTAGTAGGTGGATAGCGGGTCCACCATGAGCGTGCAGAAGTTCCGGTAGGACATCGTGGCGTTCGCCGAGGAGGGGGAGGTGGTGGGCAAGGCGCCGCAGGTGCAGTTGCACGACAGCGGCGCGTTCACCAGCGAGAAGTGGTTGAGGCACGCAGAGGGGCACGCGTTTTCCACGTGCGTCGCACCGTCCAGCTCGCTGCTGCCGCTCTGCACTGTGACATCGGTGTAGGACACCCCCGCACCCAACGTCGCACCAACGTCCTTCACATCCAGGTAGCGGAGCGCCACGCCACCGGCACCAACGTTGGCAGAGTTCATGTTGCCACCGAAGATGCTGCTGGTGCGCGACGTGATGTTCTCCACGACGATGAGGCTGTCGGATGTGACGCTGATGCCGCCCGAGGCGGCGTTGATGACTGCCACCGCCGGCGCCGGTGTGGCGGTGAGGGCGATGTGCGACACGCGGAGCAGGCTGTTGGACTGCACGACGATGGCGGAGGACGGGATGTAGATGATGCCGTTGGCGCAGCCGTCGCACTCGGCGTAGTCCACCGCGACGACGCTGTTGTTCACTACCAGCATCGAGGCGTGATCGGAGGAGTCCACCACACCCACGACGGCCGAGGCCCTGGCCAGCTTAACGCCCAGCGCAAACACACCGGCGGCGCCCGCCAGCGTCTGCGGCATCAAGAACAGCACCTGCGTGTTCGCGGTGGTCTCCGCAGCGCTCCACGCCACGCTGGAGTCGACCACCTCGATCGTGAGCCTGTCGCTTGAGAACGCGTTGACCAGGGTGATCATCGGCGTGTTGGCCGCCGCCATGCCATTCATCGCGGAGAACTGGATCAGCGTGACCACCGGGTAGTAGCCGTTGATCACCACGTTGCCGTTCGACACGGTGAGGGAGTCCAGGTGGATGAGGCCCGTTTCGAGTCCCAAGTCGGAGTAGGAGACGGCGGCGCCTTGAATCGTGAAGGTGCCGTCCGTCAGCGTTGGCTCGATGTACAACGAGCCATGCTGTTCGCCAATATTGCCGACGTCGGGGTAGGGGTTGTCGGCGTCGTTGGACAACCTGGCGTTGATCACTCCTGCCAGGGCGGCGTTGACACTGCTCTCCACCACGGCAAATGCAGGGAGGGCCACGCACGCAGCAACGACTGCGAGCGCGGTGAGGACGCGCACGAACATCAACATCGGCGAGGACGCGAAGACACACTCACAGGCGCACTGCAGTGGCTGCGGGGAGAACGAAGAGAAAAAAGGGAAAATAACAAGAATGTCGGCTAGACTTTCGGTGGCGGTTTTTCAGCGCGGTTTTCTGGAAAGAAAGTTCAACGGCGGAGGGAAGTTACTGCCCACGCGGTTGCAGCAGCCACACGTGTGTGCACGCAAACCCACACGCCGAACACGTCAAGTAAAGGCGCCTGCTCCTGCGCTGCACCCCGTCGTGCCGTGCCGCTGTCAGCTGCCAGCGTGGGCCCTCACCGGGGCGCGACGACCCGCGCTCCTCGTCCCTCGCGCTCTCCCTGCCAACGCCCCCCTCTCTTCCCCCTCCCCCCTTCTTTCACTGACGGAGGCGATGGGGCAGGCGGAGGTGGAGGGCGGTGCGCCGGCGCGCGACCGCACACACACATCCACACATCCACACACACGTTGACCCCACAGCAACACATAAATGCACGCAAACTCCCCGGACCAGCACCGCCACGGGGGTGCAAGGGAGGCGGGGACGGCGGGGGATGCGGGGTGCAAAGAGGAGAGGGGTTCGGCTTTCTGCGTGTCTGTGCACATGAGACAAGAACACCAACGGACAGCGGCGCAGTACCACCACGTCTCCCACACACATGCTGCACACCCATCGGTGCGTCGGTGCGTGTGCGTGCGTGGATGCGACGACTCGCCGATGGCGAAGAGAATGGCGGTTGCGAACAACCGGGAAAAGAGAGAAGAAAACAGCTACGCACACCGGAGTCGCACACTCAACCGGGTGGGGCTTCGGGAGAAAACAGAAGGGAAAACGCGGCACCAACACGTAGCGTATGAGAATGAGAGAAAGAAGAAGCTAAAGCATTTGTGTGTGGTGCCGTCAGTCGATTTGCCGGAGGAAACGAAGCGGAGCGGGTGGCGCCAGGCGTGGGGGCAACGCAGGGGTCGTTGCGGGCCCGCTCCGACAGTAGAAAGAAGCAAGAAGGAAACAAACGAAGAAAGCTAAAAGAGAACAATACTCTACGGGGAGGGAGTAGGGGGAATACGGCGCGTAGGTCGAGCCGCTGCCGCCGGTGCGAGTGGGCTGTTCACATGTTGGCTCGCACCGGCGGGGCGCCACGCCTGGTACGTGCCGCCTACGCCAAGTACGTGACGGCGAATGCCACCATCACGGCCACAGCCACCCACCGCGAGTGCGGTGCAACGGCGCCGTTCACGTTGACGTGCTGCGAGAGGCAGGTGTAGGTGGAGCTGAGGAGGTAGCCGTTGCGGCACGTGGAGCACTTGGTGCTGTCGCGCAGCATGCACTGTGCGCAGTTGCCCACGTAGCAGCTGCTGGTGGGCACGCACTGGCCGTTGGACGTGTAGTAGCCACTCCGGCAGTACTGGCAGGTGTTGGGGTCGCTGGCGACGCACGTGATGCAGTTCGGCACGCTGCACGGCGTTGTTGGCGTCGTGGTGGAGGTGACGTCCGCCGTGCAGTCGTCTTGTCAGCCGACAGGGTGTAGCCGGCGTCGCAGGTGTCGCACACGGATGCGCTGACGGGGCTGCACGTTTTGCAGTGGCTGACGCTGCAGCTGCCGCTCGTGATGCACTGGAAGGTGACCGTGTCAACGATCTTTGGAGGCGCGCACCGCGCACACTTGGTGGGGTCGCCCGTGATGCACTCCACGCAGTCGGCCACGCGGCACTCCACGGGAGAGCACGTGCCGTTCACGAGGCGGAAGCCCGGGTTGCAGGTGGTGCACTGATCGGGGGAATTGCTGCAGGCAGCGCAGTTGGCCACTGTGCACGTGGAGGACGCCACACAGTAGCCGTTGGTCAGCGTGTAGCCGCTCTCGCACACCACGCACGTGCTCTCGGGATCGCTGCCAGAGGATGTCGGTGAGCTCCCGCCCTTGCACTGTGTGCAATGGCCCACACGGCACCCCGGACCCTGCACGCACTGCAGGTTGTTCCACGTGTACCCGGCTGAACACAGCTGGCAGTCATTCGTTCTGTTGCTGTAACACAGGTCACAGTGGTTCACCTTGCAGGAGCTGACACAGACGTTGGAAACGTCGAACGCGTAACCGTCGGCGCACTGCGCACACTGCGTGGCCGCGGTGCTGCTGCATGTTTTACAGTGCGCTGCACGGCACTGCGTCACGCCACGAGAGCTCGACGCACTGCCCCTGCCGCTCCCGCTGGCGCCCGAGTCGGCGGTGTTCGCGTCGCACTCACCGTTGTTCCAGTGGAAGCCGTTACTGCACAGGTTGCACGTCGGAAGGGTGCCGGTAGAGTTTGTCGTGCACTCGTCGCAGTGGGGAACTTTACACTGCGCGCAAACGCCGTTCGCAAGCTGGTAGCCAGTGAAGCACGCCGTGCAGGGGCCAGAGTTGGATGCAGCCGCCGAGCCTGAACACACCGTGCAGTAGTCTGTCAAGCACAACCTGGACGAGCCGCTGCAATCCGTTATGTTCGCGGAGGAGCAGCAGAGGCATTGGTCTGCCGAGGGGATAATGGTCTGGCGCGAAGGGTCGCTGTTTACGCACGTGTACAACGCACTGCACTCAGCCTGCGTCGGCGCTGCTGCTGCTGCTGGGGTGGCGGCTGCGTTCAGAACGACCAGCGCAGCGCACAGCAGAAACACGACCTTTGCGTAACGCATGGTTGACCACGAGCAGCAAAGGGAGAGAAGAGAAAAGAAAAAACCAATGCGTGCGTGTCTCTGCAAGAGGCTTGGATGAACTGGGACTTGTGTCGGCGAGAAACACACACCGCAGAGAGAAACCGAGAAAGCAAAGAAAACTTGGTGTGCGAATAGAGGCGCAAGCCATTACTCTCGCAGATTCGTGAGGCGTTAGCGGCGTGTGCACGTCAGCGTGGCGAGGAAGAGGAGTGCGCCTGCTCCTGCGCTGCACCCCGTCGTGCCGTGCCGCTGTCAGCTGCCAGCGTGGGCCCTCACCGGGGCGCGACGACCCGCGCTCCTCGTCCCTCGCGCTCTCCCTGCCAACGCCCCCCTCTCTTCCCCCTCCCCCCTTCTTTCACTGACGGAGGCGATGGGGCAGGCGGAGGTGGAGGGCGGTGCGCCGGCGCGCGACCGCACACACACATCCACACATCCACACACACGTTGACCCCACAGCAACACATAAATGCACGCAAACTCCCCGGACCAGCACCGCCACGGGGGTGCAAGGGAGGCGGGGACGGCGGGGGATGCGGGGTGCAAAGAGGAGAGGGGTTCGGCTTTCTGCGTGTCTGTGCACATGAGACAAGAACACCAACGGACAGCGGCGCAGTACCACCACGTCTCCCACACACATGCTGCACACCCATCGGTGCGTCGGTGCGTGTGCGTGCGTGGATGCGACGACTCGCCGATGGCGAAGAGAATGGCGGTTGCGAACAACCGGGAAAAGAGAGAAGAAAACAGCTACGCACACCGGAGTCGCACACTCAACCGGGTGGGGCTTCGGGAGAAAACAGAAGGGAAAACGCGGCACCAACACGTAGCGTATGAGAATGAGAGAAAGAAGAAGCTAAAGCATTTGTGTGTGGTGCCGTCAGTCGATTTGCCGGAGGAAACGAAGCGGAGCGGGTGGCGCCAGGCGTGGGGGCAACGCAGGGGTCGTTGCGGGCCCGCTCCGACAGTAGAAAGAAGCAAGAAGGAAACAAACGAAGAAAGCTAAAAGAGAACAATACTCTACGGGGAGGGAGTAGGGGGAATACGGCGCGTAGGTCGAGCCGCTGCCGCCGGTGCGAGTGGGCTGTTCACATGTTGGCTCGCACCGGCGGGGCGCCACGCCTGGTACGTGCCGCCTACGCCAAGTACGTGACGGCGAATGCCACCATCACGGCCACAGCCACCCACCGCGAGTGCGGTGCAACGGCGCCGTTCACGTTGACGTGCTGCGAGAGGCAGGTGTAGGTGGAGCTGAGGAGGTAGCCGTTGCGGCACGTGGAGCACTTGGTGCTGTCGCGCAGCATGCACTGTGCGCAGTTGCCCACGTAGCAGCTGCTGGTGGGCACGCACTGGCCGTTGGACGTGTAGTAGCCACTCCGGCAGTACTGGCAGGTGTTGGGGTCGCTGGCGACGCACGTGATGCAGTTCGGCACGCTGCACGGCGTTGTTGGCGTCGTGGTGGAGGTGACGTCCGCCGTGCAGTCGTCTTGTCAGCCGACAGGGTGTAGCCGGCGTCGCAGGTGTCGCACACGGATGCGCTGACGGGGCTGCACGTTTTGCAGTGGCTGACGCTGCAGCTGCCGCTCGTGATGCACTGGAAGGTGACCGTGTCAACGATCTTTGGAGGCGCGCACCGCGCACACTTGGTGGGGTCGCCCGTGATGCACTCCACGCAGTCGGCCACGCGGCACTCCACGGGAGAGCACGTGCCGCCGGGGATGAGGTACCAACCGGCGGCGCACACGGTGCATTTGGAGCCGTCATTGGGGTCGCACTTTATGCAATACTGCACGTTGCACACGGCGGTGGTGGTCGTGGTGGTGGTGGTGGTTGCGTCGCACTGGTAGGTGGGGGAGGGCTCGTAGCCGGGGTTGCACTGCGTGCAGCGCGAGCTCGGATAGAGGCGGTCGCAGGTGGCGCAGTTCAGGACCGTGCACGTGGCGGTGTCGTCGTAGGTCTGCGTGGGGTCGCTGGCGGTGGTGCAGGCGGGCGGGTTGTAGGCCCTCTCAGTGCAGGTGCAGGAGCACTCGATCGCC